CAGGCTCTATTAACACTACACAATGTAGACAACATCAGTCATTTCTCCAGCTGTGAAGTGCATCATGTACAACAAGATTTAATAACCAGTGTACCAATGGATGCTAGTGGTCAGGCATCTCAGAACCCGCCCCTGCTGAAGGCAGCATGGATCCGGGCTTCACAGCTGGTTCGCTGCACTGCGAGCAGTAGTCGTCGTCATCATTATCATAATCATCATCATCGGGAACCTTGCACGGAAAAGGTCAAACAGTGATTTTATTGATCCTCACGAACATGAAAAAAGTCGTGAAAAAGACTGTTCGGATAATCCGTTAGATCCCAGTTTACTGTAAACTTGACAAGCGATTTGGTGTATTGAGTGATGATGTACCTTCACCAGAAATCAATCGATTTGAATATCTCAGAGTAAGTTACCAGCTAAAATCCCCCCAACTTTCGTTGCTATTATCTCCAACCCAAACAATTTCATCAAGAATCTGATTAATAAAGTAACCAGTAACTTTGTAGCAATCTTGACAAAAATAAAATAAAAATCAGTGCCAACTCAGTCACAGACTTACGCAACATCATTAAATACCACATAGTGACAAACAGAAGTTTCCATTCTTTCAAGGACCCATAAAACAGATAATTTTCTGTTATCTTTAAAAATCTGCACCAATCCATAACAGAAAAGGAAATCTTTACAGATCTCAAATTACGACACCCATCAATTATTAAAATCACCAGACTTCATATAGACAATATCCCAATACCAGTAGTTGCGGTCGAGTTTAATGTCAATGAACCCATAGAGTCAATTCTTACAATCACTCAAATTTGCAATCATCTTGTGACTACTGAAAGACGTCGGAAACCAAAAGGTCTCATCCAATGCCAACGGTGCTTAGACTACGTACTCAAGAAAAAACTGCAACTATGTTAGAATTGTTCATACTGTTCTGAAAACCATTAGTCAATTATGTATCCGCAAAAAATGTAAACCCGGTTTGTATTAATTTCAATGGTAATCACAAACGATTCATGCTCATATAAAAAAACACAGAGCAAAAAACGTGTGACCAACTTCAAAACAGTAGTAATAAAATTCTCAAAAATCAATCAAGAAACCTGTTTCCACAACTGCCTCAAACCGCCCATTCAAAACTTCATATCTCATCCTTGAACAATCCATCTCTTCGCAATTTTCAAAACGTCCATCATTCCAGTCAAACGGCCCACACTAACATCCCAATACTCTCCAGAATAACCAACTTCAAGCTCACTTGACCCATCTATAATTAGTACGATTCAAAATTCTGTGACCGCATGCTTAAGCCATAATAATAACAGATAAAATCGAAAGCAATATTATCATCCTAAATTGGGACGGAAACTGAACCACCAACAAAAAATCTAAACTCGTCCATTTCCTGCACCACTAAAACGTAGACATAGTTTGTATTACCAAAACGCACTTAAGCAATAAAAACAAACTATTTTTTCCCAACTTAAAAATATGCGGATCGGATAGAATTGATTCGAAAGAAGGAGACGTACTCATCGTTATAAAATCTATCTACACACACAGCCAGGAAACTCTCCAGAAATCCAGGGTTAGAAACTATAGCAATCTCAATAATAACTAACAATCACCCTTTGAAGAATATAGCTGCATACAACCCCCTACAGTAAAAGTAACAAATTCAAACGTTCAAAACTTATTGAATCCCAACGATAAAATCTTGCTAATAGGAGACCTCAATGCCAAACAACTGGAATTGCCAATGCAAGCATAAACACAGTAAAATCTAGCTGAACTTGCTAATATTACTAATACTAAAATTCTCTCCCCCAGTGAGCCCACTTAATATCCGCATGATCGCTTACAGAAACCTGACATCCTAGACATTGGCTTAACCAACGCTAACATTTACCTCTATATGTCGTTAATATTCGAAATTGATTCTGATCATATTCCTGTATAACTTACATCAAAGAAAATGTCGCTTGAACATTCTACATTGTCTACAGCTAACTCTTTAATAATTAACTGGAAAAGTTCTCCGAAACATTAAATAATTCAATACCCAAAATTAAAATACTAAATACCTTCCTCGAAATAAATCAATCTGTTAACTTTCCAACAGACCTCATTAGCGCAACCATCCAAAATTTAAAAAATACTATCACTCCAAACACAAAACACAAACCTATAAATAAACTACTTCCGGACAATTTGAATGCAAAAACAGAACCAAAAGACTCTGGGCGCATCTAAGAACACGAGAGCTAAAGAAAGAACTCAATCAAATCACCAGCATGGTAAAACGTCTTATCAAAGACCACACTAATGAGCAGTATGTTAACTTTATCCAATTACTTAACTCCAGCAACAATACTTTATGGCAATTTACAAAAACAATCCTAAAGAAAAAAACTCAATCCCTCCTTTAAACACAACCTCAGGTAAAGCCTTATCATCGATACAAAAGGCAGAGTCACTAGCAATGCGTTTCGAGAGTACTTTTTTCAAGAACATGAGTGCCCATCTCTTACATAATAAAATGCTATATACCACAAAATTAAGCTTCTTCGGGCCGTCTCAGGAAATTAATTATTCGTCTCTCACTGAAATGTCAAAAATTATTAAGAAACTACCCAATACATAAATACCCATACCCATAGAAAAGCTCCAGGGCACGACAATATTAACAACGTAACTTAAAAAAAACTTCAATCATCGACCACAGAGTATTTAAACAACATATTCAATTCATGTTTCAGCATAGGATATTTCCCTCATACTTGGAAACACGCAACCATCATCCCTATAGAAAAGCCAAATACAGCAATCCTTAAGAGTTACTGCCCGATCAGTTTATTATCCACTTTTTCCAAAATATTCGAAAAAATCATATTAAAAAGACTGAACCAACACCATCTTCAGTGCACAGTTCGGTTTTACAGAAACAACATCTACACAACATCAATTACTAAGAATCTCAGAGCTCATTTATTCTGCTTTTCAAAAAAACATCATACCATATCTATATTTCTTGATATCATACAAACATTTGACCGAACTTGGCACTAAGCTCTCGTATATAAAGGCATTAAAATAGACACTCCAAAGTACTTAAAGTCAATATTTATAAATTTCTTAAATAATAGATCTTTCTCAGTAATTGTCAACATCCATTTATCTAACCCTTGAACAATAAACGCTGGACTTCCATAGGGCTCCTTGTTATCACCCACTCTATTCAACCTTTATGTTATTAACATACTCACCCTTAATAAAATTTCGATTGCGCAATTTGCCGACAACACTCATATTTACCTCCGGTACAGATGAGTTAAGAACTCATATTCAACTTTATTTATACATGATAGACTGTTGGGCCGCCGAACTTAAAATTCAATTAAACCCTAGTAAAACAGCTGCCAAAATATTTACATTAAACCTCACTCTCCTCCTCTCCCCTTCACGTTAAATAACAATACAATAGATTGGTACCGCCGTAACAAACCCATTAAATACTTATGTTTATACCTAGATACCAAGTTAAATTGGGGAAAACGAATAAATGCCTAGGCAACCCAAACCAAACTAAAACTGTCACAGCTACGACCTTTAATCTATAGAAACAGTCCAATATACTACAAATCATCCATAAGAATTTACAAAACAATCTTAAGATCGTTAATGCTATATGTCAGCCCATCTTAGATCCACTCTGCCAAAACTAACATCCACAAACTACAAGTCCTTCAAAATTAATTCCCAAAGAATAGTTACTCATTCATCTTGGTATGTAGCCAACAACCAACTCATAATGAATTTAACCTGGAACTTAGAGGACTACACATCACGTACCTGGCCTCCAACTTTTCTTATAACCTACCTCAAATCCTTGTTCACCCTTCAAACTGGTCAAAAACTCCATGTTCCAAACGACAATAAAAACAAATATCTATTCCACATATTCCTAAAAAAATTTGCATATTTAATCCTGACTAAAGACCCTTTAATCAGGATTATATCCTTCCTCCCCCTTGTAATAGTATGTAAATTTACATTTAAGTGTAGTAAGTTTCTTAATACCTAGATATAGTTATATCTACTGAGCAATGTACTTTCTGCATGAGAATAATAAAAAAACGTATTTTCTCTTCATCCGTAACCGCGGTGTCCCATTCAAGGGTTAAATGGCGGCGGCCCTTCGGGTGTGCTGCACTGTGTACGTAAACTACCCCGCAGCGCAGGGGGAACCGCGTGAGGTCCGAGCTTTATGGTAGAGACTCGAAACATCCACCAGGACCCTAATTTCTCGGTGGCACTCACGTCGTTAGCGCCAATGTGGGTGCGGCGGGGAGGTGGTGCTAAGCTCCTGGTTATTCGCGCTTGGCCCGTAACACACCAGTAGGGTCGTCGTCCTGTGGAGCAGGACTGGGGACGCGGCACGGTCCCGAACCCACGTAAAGAAATTCAACGCGTCTATTGAAATACCCCGGCAGGTTCATCTAGATTTCCGGCAATGCTCACATCGTTGGTGGCAAGGGGGCAGTGAGCAGTCGATTGGCAGCCTCGAGCCGCCCGGGGTTTAGTCCGAGTGGGCCCCAGTTGTGCACTAGGTTTCATGGTACTAGAGCACGATTCTCATAGGAATTGAGTAGGGATTTTCCGGGGTGTTGTGAGGGGCGCTGAATTAGAGTCCGGTGCTAGCCCGAACAGCTAGGAGACCAGAGCTGACAGGGTGGCTCTACCCAAGCTTTTTAATGCCTAGGCGCCTCGATAGGGTGATGCGTTCCTATGCCAGCCCAAAGGTGAACGAACTTGTACCTACGCGGGGAGTGGGGTGAGGGTGAGGTTAAATGCCAAAGAGCCCAGGTGCCCACCCTTCTCCTGAGTAAAATCCTCCTGGTAGGACAAGAAAGTGAGGAGTAGTGTTTCACGTAAGGGTATCCACGGTTCGTAAACAACTACAGGGGGGGGGGAGGGAGCGAGCACGCCACCTGCTGCCGGAAGAGCACGCCCTTGTTGGCCAGCGCCCGCGCCAGCGCCATGCTCTGCTGGAAGTGCACGTTGTCGTCCGCGGTGCCGTGCACCAGGTAGAACATCTTGTCGCGCAGCCGCTCCACGCGCTGGCTCACGTCCGCCTCCTCGTAGCCCTTGTAGTTGCCCGTCAGGTTGGGCAGCCCCATGTAGCGCTCCGTGTACGCCGAGTCTGCAATCAACGTGCGCGCGCGCCTGAGGTCAGGCCACGGGAACATATTACACGCAAAAAGGTTTTCGTGAAGAGGGGGTTATATTTGTTTCATTTAGGAGATGAGGAAGGGATCAATGGCAACTGAGCGAAGAAGTCCGATCCGCATGCAGGTTCCAAAATTTATAAATATGGACGTAAATATGAGTAAAATGTAAGATCAATGTTCACTTTTACGCATATGAAATTCAATTGTTGCTATGCCGTGCATTACATTTCGTAAACTTGGCCATCACTTTTAAAATTACACATTAGAGCATTAAAACTCAACATTTGATATGTATTTTAGTATTCTGTGATACAGATCAAATGTTCGACTTTTTCACACTCATTTACAAGTAAAATCACTGTCTGTGACTGAGTGAACCAAGGTTAAGAAAATCATGCTCTATCATTGTGAAAGGAACACCTTTATCCATGGCCGGTGCTTTTAGAACACAATTTTCGTGAAAACTGTTCATTGACTGCAAAACGGGAAAGTCTCGGAAAACGAAGTTTTAAAGTTTTCATTAGCATTACAATACAAATATCCCACGCTTAAGTGTTGATGGATTAAGCAATATTAAAAGGTTTCATGCGAGTTCTATTAATCATTATAATAAAATTAACCTAAAAGAAACAGACAACTATATGACATGGACATAACTAAAATTCGTATGTTTTGATATGTGCCAGTGTTGAAGTCAATGAAAAAACTGAGAGTGATAGTGACTATCTGTTGTGAAACCAATGATATTCTGGGTGAAGCCAATGATATTCTGGCGGAATCAAACCAGGTTACGCAGTAATACATGTATTGAGAAACAGCTACGTATCCGCTGTACTTTAACGTTCGATCCAGTGTTTCAGCGTCCGCTGCTGTGTTCACAGATTTAATTCTTTGTTTAGAAGATTCGCTTCTATGGACATACTACGTGTTCATGAACAAAATTACAGAATTATATAAAAAATGATGTGTTTGATTTGGTTTGTATTTAAATTTTATTCTGTATTTTAATAAATGAGTTGTGTACTCTTAAATGTAATGTTTGTTAAATTGAATTATGGCAGTCTTTCGGAACCTGCAAAACTAAAAAATAATATCCCCAAAGTTTTCACGGAATGTTATAAATTAGAGTCGAATTCATTCTTAGGCTGCTTTTAGGTTCCCCACCTGCTGAAGGTCAGGCGTCCTAACTTTAAGCTTTCTTGCGTAATAGAGCGTTCGCTCACCGTAGAGGCGCCACGTGGTGACGGGCGCGACGGAGATGCCGCAGTGGAACACGTCCTGCTCCCGCGCCAGCGCCATCGCCGCCACGAAGCCGCCATAGCTCCAGCCCCACACGGCCACGCGGCGCGGGTCCACGAAGTGCAGCGAATCGCGCAGGTATCTGCAACAGAACGCACGCGCGTGCTTCAGTCAGGGGCCCTAGGGTTCCGCCCCGCCTCTCCCTGCCTTACCCCGCTCCAATCTCTTCTCCCCTCGCACTTTTCTGCCAACCCGTACCATCCGCTCCTATCCTCACCATTCCGCCCCTCCGCCTCACCAGCCCGGCCCAGTTGCTAAATATAGAGAAACTAGTGGTGCTATAAAGGTAAATACTTTCTCGCATTCTTTCTAACTGCTCCGTTATACACTGAAGAGCAAAGAAAAAAAAAACAACTGGTACAGCTATGCGTATTGAAATAAAGAGCTCTGGGACCAATTAGAATACGGTGCTCCGCTCGGCAATGGCTACATTTTTAATTTAATAGGTAATTATTACAGTTATAAATTAAAGAACTTGATAATATGAGGCTAGTCCGAATGCCTTTACAATACCTACATCCTACTGTGTTCTAACCTGTATAAGACTATATAAACCTATACCCCTATATAAACCTATATAAGACTATATAACGACTATATAAGATAATCAGAGTCTGGCAGGTTATCACGATTTAAGTGAGTTTGAACGTGGTGTTATAGTCGGAGAAAGAGTGATGATGTGTAGCACCTGCGAGGTCGCGATGAAATTTAGATTTTCCCGTACGACCATTTCACGAGTACCGAGGATATGGGGAATCCAGTAAAACATCACATCTCGGGCATTGCTTCGGCTGCCAAAAGATCATGCAAGAAAGGGACCGATGATAACTGAGGAGAATCGAGACACGTGACAAAAGTGCGACCCTTCCGCAAATTGCTGCAGATTTCAATGCTGGGCCATTAGCAAGTGTCAGCCTGCGAACCATTCAACTAGGCAATAACGATATGGGGTTTCGTAGCCAAAGGCCAACTCATGACCCTTGATGACTGCACGACACAAAGCTTTACGCCTCGCCTAGGCCCGTCAACACCGACATTGTACAGTTGATGACTGGAAACACATTGCCTGGTCTGACAGTGTCGTTTCACATTGTTTCGAGCCGATGGTCTGTACGAGTTTGGCGACAATCTCATGAAGCCATGGACTCTGTATGTTAACAGGGAACTGTTCAAGCTGGTAGAGGCTATGTAATGGTATGGAGTGCGTGAAGTTGGAGTGATAAGGGACTCCTGAGTCGTCTAGATATGACTCTTACAGGTGATACATAGGTATGTAGCCCATCTGATCCCCTGCACCCATTCACGTCCATTGTGCATCCCATTGGGCAATTCCAGAAGGACAATGCGACAGCCCACACGTCCAGAATTGCTACTGAGTGGCTCCAGGAGCACTCTTCTGAAATTAAACACTTGAACTGGTCTCTAGACATGAACATTATTGAGCATATCTGGGATGCCTCGCGACGTGTTGTTCAGAACTCTCACGAGTACTCTTACGAGTATATGAACAGCCTTGCCGGATTCATTGTATCAATTACCTCCAGAACTTTTTCAGACATTAGTCTAGCCCATAACACGTCGTGTTGCGGCACTTCTGCGCGCTCGCTGGGGCCCTACATTATATAAGGCAGGTGTACAAGTGTTTTGGCTCTTCAGTGTATTATACTACTACATAAACGTGAGAAGCATCACTAGTTTTGAAATGAAACTTGCAAGAGATTACATGATATTCTAAATATTTTACTGACCTTTCGAGCATTATTCTAGTGCTCAAATTTCAAATTGCTAGATGAATTTTTCATTGATTCACAAAATTAATTTTACTTTGTAAAATACTAAGTAATATACCGAGACGACTACGCAACCTTAATCGATTATAATAATTCCCTGCATTGCTTTTGTTATTTGGTCAAGAGTCGCAGTAAAGTTCAGAAATGAGCATCCAAATCTTTCTCATTCCATGTAGCGCAAAGCTTTGTAAGTCAGTTCTTCCACGATATGAATGTCGCTGCGTGCTACCGCAACACACTGCAATTCATAGAAAAGCATTGCGGTAGCGTGACTGAGGCCGTAGTCCCGAGAAATTTTCTGCTCTCTTTTCAATTTGCTTCAACCAAAATTCGACTTGACAGTCCGTGTAAAAATGATTGTCGGTTTTCTTCTGTCCGACCGATTCTAGGAAGTAATATCGTCTTATTGATCGAAAGCTTCCCTACTTCCATTTATACGGACTGTCGAAGAGATTTTTAGTTCTGAAGTGATGAATAGCACTACTTTGAATTACTTGTCTGTGAAAGGCTGACCTCGGCCTGCAAAGAAAGGCTGTTGAACGAATCTATCTTCTGGAGCTAGATCATGAGACAAGCAGTACCCTCGAATCTCATGCAAGTGCTTGGCATTATTAAAGTTTATAAGCACAAGTCGTGAAGTCATGTATTAACAATCAATAAACAAAAAAAGGCTGCAAAAATGTAAGTAATCACTGTGATAATGATTCAAAATAATAAAAAGAGATAATTAATTCGAGTTAAAAAAGACATTATGAAATACAAAAATTTGAGTTTTAAACATTTTATGAACGCGTGATTGCATTGACTTCTAGTTTAATAAGCTTAATAGAAAAAATTAATTACAATGAAAATAATAGTTTTGTAAACGAAACTCCATTTTTATTCGCAATATTATCTTCATTAGATGTGTATGTTTTTCTCATGTGAAAATTAGAGAAATGATGAACCTTTGTCCTATTTTAAAGTTGAAAGGGTTAACAAGGTTTATGTGTTCGACAGCACGTTCATCATCTGAACGTAGAAATGAAAGAACAGAGAGTTATCAGAGCAGGGATGATCTGTCCTAAAACAGATTTTGGTGGCACATTATAATTTTACATCTCAAAGTGAAGTAATGTGAAAAATACGAACTACATACGACTTATGTTTCAAAATAGACAGACGATATAAAACAACGTACATTTGTCTATTAACTATATTTCCAATGTTTCAAACAATGATATTTAACTTAAACATACGCGTGCACAGTTGGCATCTGTGGCCTTCCTAAAAATTTCGAGAGAGGCTCCGCAGTCCTTTGTAATAAAACATTTTATTTACGTAAATAGATCATTTACTGATATTTCCCCTTTTCAAATACACAACTTGGGTCAGAAGGTCTTTAAACCATCCGGCAACTCTGTAGATGGTTCAATCTAAAACAATTGTATTTATTAATTGTATAATTCAAATTATTTCATTTTCTCCTTGTATTTTATTTAATTTATTTTCTAGTAAAAAGTCATTTGTAAAAAAATAGTTTAATAGAAAAGGGAGGACAGTGACTCAAATATTTAGTGCCCCTCTCTTGTTTTAAGCTGCGCACGCCAGTGCATCCAAATGTCATCACATTCATTACTCACTCTGTCACCTCCAGTTGGTCGGCCACTTCGACGGAGCCTAGGCGCATGTAGACTTCATGTAGCAGTTGGTAGCCCTGGCCGCCGGAGCCGCGGCCGTCGATCTGCGCGACGATGAAGTCGCGGCTCCCGGCCAGGTACGTGCTCCAGTCCAGCTTCCAGCGCTCCGTCACCAGCTGCGTTCCCGGCCCTCCGTACCTGCGCCCGACACACACTTGTTTTGGACAGCCCATTCAACTTATGAGGTGAAGTTCAAGGGGACGATGATATTGAGGCCTAAATATAAATGAATATGGTAACAAATTCTTTTCATTTTTCGCTCAAGATTCAATATAAAGTTTGTAATGGATAATTATATGAATAATTTACAAAAATGTTTGATTATTCAAATAATTGACTGCCTCAGCCGAGAATCGAACAAGGGCCTTTCGGTATACGCTCAGTTGATGACTAGAGTATCACAACAGTGTTGACACGCAGTGACAGCTCGTGCTTAATTTGCACGGTTCCACAACCCGCTGATAATCGAAAAATATCTCAAAATATCTTAGAAATGTACATTTCACTTTTAATGACATTCAATATTAAAGATATTGCAGCAATATCAATGTACATGAAATCATTTTGAAACCAAAGAGAGTCCAACTGGCGCTCTCTTCGGTGTCGGTCGGCCTTACCAGGTATTGACCCACGCTCGTGGCTGTATTACTGGGTTCACTGCAGTTACTTTTTGGCCCTTCGATTTAACACGAGGAACATGAGGTCTTTTGGTGGCGCAACCAGACGGGTGGCGCTCTCTAGCGTTGCGCGGCAACGGAGGGACTCTCAGGGGAATACCTTTGTCTTTGTCTGACTCGCACCAATGTAATTTTATGAATTTCGCTTGTTAGTGAAAGTACAAAAGTTCAGTGAATTATTGACGATATCCAGTGCATTACATATGATGTTTGGAGAATTTGTTTTCATTAGATTTGTTAAATCAAAATGTACATTTGATGGATTTAGTGTGTAAAGGTAAACGTTCTAAATGCATGTCCCTTAATGTCTCTCGGAAACCAGTGTGCCTGCGGCTGGCATGCAATTGGCGAGCGTTCTTGTGAAAAACCAATGCGTGTCGAATATCTTTCATTATTGCCATGTACACCAGGATAGTGAAGTTTTTTAAATAAAATTATTTTACTTGCGTAAAACGTGTCTAAGCAATTATGCGATAATTAACCTTTCCCAGCTTCTTCAGAACATGTATTGATGATTAATCAATGCAAGATAGTAAGCTAACACGTTTTGTAAAATAACAACGTTAATTATGTGGAGATTTGACAGACTTGATGTCAAACTTGTGAGCTCTGTCAAGTTCTTTTATTTTCTAACCTACGCAACCGCAAGTGGTTGCCACATTATGCGCGAATGCCATAATCTTTGCTAGTTATAATGATTAATGTGCTTTAGAGGGGCTCTGCGGTTATGGACGTTTACATAAGGTAAACAGTAATAAGGAATTTGTGTGGAAGTAATGTAATGGTACGTCATTCGTCACGCCGTGTTTGATTGAAAGGGAAGAGGGCGAGTAGTACTCACACTTGCACGACGAGCGGGTAGCGCGTGATCTCGTCCTCGCGCAGCCCGGGCGGCAGGTGGAGGCGCACCTGCGCGTGGTAGCCGCCCGAGATCTGCACGGGGAACGTCTTCACCTGCGGCAGCGCCATCTTGGACGCGCGCTCCACCAGCGCCGAGTTGTTCTGCAGGGTGGCGAGCAGGCGCGGGCGGTTCCCGCCGCCGGCCGCCCGCGAGCCCCGCCCCGGCCCCGCGCCCGGCCCCGGGCCCACGTTCAGCCCCGGCCCCGCGCCGCCCCCCACCCGTTGCCGCCCCGCCGCCACCCCCCCCCCGCTGCCGCTGCCGCCGCCGCCTCCGCGCCCCGCGTCGCCAGCAGCTGCACCGTAGGCACGCGGGCCCCAGGCATTCCAGCACCAGGTAGTTGAGGCCCGGGCTGAAGATGGCGTTGTGGTATAGGCACGGCCGCACCAGCAGCCCCATCACGTCCCAGCGATAGGCTACGCACACACAACAACGCCGCTTGTTAGTTTAACACCGTGCCTCAATTAGCTTTGTTGCTCAGCATTCGGGAAACATTTGTTTTGTAAACAATTTAGGACAATATAAACTACTTTGCATAAAAGAAAGTAATCTTGGTAATTCACGAGAGTGTAGAATACAAAACTCAAAAGATGAAGGAATTAAATCGAGTTAGTGCATCGATGCGTTTTCTGGCGACAAATAACTCGGTTTAATTAAATCCTGATTATCTCTTCTTGGATCACAATATATACACAGAGATGGCAGTGCAACAATCCACTTCTAATTAATCTACGTAAAATTCTCTAAAGGAATAACTTATCACATTTACTTTAAAAATTATCCAAATCAGAAAAGAGTGTTTAATTCTTGTGAATGATTCACGTGATCAGTAAATCATAGTACAGTTAATTTGAATGGTATATGATATTGAAATATGTTCGTTGCATGTTTGCGTTATTAATTCGATGTTAGCTGTATCTTTTTTTACAATACTGAGAATTAAATTTCCTTCAATATTTTTATAATTGATATGTCAGAGATAATTGACAAGTGAACTCGATAGCCTAATGCTGATAAATGGCATTTTCCTCTCAATATTTTAATACAAATAAGTAAATACTTTTATTTTTCAGAATATGTAACGCCATATGCCAAAATTTCAATTAATAGAATAAACAAAGTTAAAGTTTATATATTAATTAAAATTCCAGAAAAAAAACCCTTCAGTTCATTAAAATTTGCCACAGAATATTTCACTCAATAAAAGTAATACGCGTAATTTTCCAGTGTTCCTTAAAAATATTATGGGAGTTTTCTGAAGAATAATTGGATCAGCTAAGTATAACAAAATTAATGTGGAAAACACAAATATATGTTAATTTCAATATCATTAGTGTTTTAATCATGAAAATGTAAATTGTCTAAAATCGCATAGCTTTGCACGAATAATAAAAAAGTATATAATTTAAGGAATGATTTTAGAATTTTAGTGTTTAAGAGTATTATTTTCTCTTCAAATACTAATAAATAAATTTATACTTATATCTAAGATTACTAAAGGTTGTGAAGAAATTATAGCATTCATTCCCGATAATTTCTTGTTACACCGTCAAAGATGTTTCATCTAAGAGATTCTTCCTAACTGCAGTAGCTTAATAGAGACGCAACGGAATTATAGCGATGACACCTTTACGAGGCACACATTGACACTCGAGCAACACGATTTTGAACAGCAATTCCGGTAATGTCCTCGTGAAAATACTTACGTTCTGCAATGATATGTGAGTGACCACTTTTCGGATGTCAACCTCTTAAGATTTTCCGGCAGCATTTCGTGCAGAGCAGAAGCGCAATTTCGCGGCACCAAAGCCGATAACGGTCGTTTTATGGTATTAGTAATCCCGGTAATACTCCGAGACGGCGATGGAACCTGCGCTCGTATTCTTGAAGGCGGAGCTCGATCTTACGCCGGATGGAGCTCCAAACTGCAGCCGATGATATGATAAATCTATAATCGTAACTATAAATTGCGAACGAAATTCGCCTCTGGCTACAAGTAAGCTGCCCAGGAAATGTCTTTCCGATAGTGTTCCGAAACTAGACGGCGTATTGGCGAGAAAATTATGTTGTTGCGTGTTATGGTCTGCTCAAAGCCTTGAGTTTGCCTGCCTAATTGACGTTCTTCATTTTGTAACGATGAAGAGAGTGATGATAACGATGGTACGCCCTCTATATAAGACGATAAGTAAGGACGACAGTTTTGTTGCATTTTGTAAGAACCATCGGCACAAACTTCTGTTAGTGAGGTACTGTTGTCGAAGGAATTAACCACTACCCTGCATTAAATAGATTTAGAACAAAACAAATTAGAGTTCACAAAAAGTAAATAGGGAAAGATCAGACGCTTATGCAACCCGGAACCCAAATTACACTGCAATACGCCTTAACAGCGTCGTGGAGAACTTGTTACCGTTATGTTTAGGGCCTTAAAATCAGATTTTCATGACCCGAAGAGTCACGATTTTTTATGTTGAAAACTACTGATCTTACTGGACGTTCTATTGCATTTTTGGGCACTATCCTCTCTTCATTGAACGAGTTGTTGAAAACTTTTGAAGTTGTATAACAGCGTAAAAGTATTTTCACTTTTAAAACGATGTGAGTAATGTTTTCACAGGTCCAACTAGTATTATTTTACTATCTCCCAATAAACGTTGAATATTTTACTATCATTAAACAAAGCGCAAGATACAATAGTATATTCATAAGATTATTTTGAAGATTTGTTCTTCATAATTCTAATTATTGAATTTGGATGTCGAGTTTCTATCCAAGAGTCATCGGAAGATAAAATAGTAATTTTTTTGTCTTGTTAGAGAGTAATATATCCTCTGTACTTCCAACTAAGAAATTTCAGCCATTCTTTTGAAGAAAGTGACGTGAAGCAATATACCTATTTAATACTATACTGACCATATAATATGTCCGAATTGACAAGCTCTAAAAGTGATATTTCTTAAGCTTCAGATCTTCGACACTTTGCAAGTAATTCATCACACATATATAAATTTATAGGCGAATTTATACAATAAAACAAACGTACAAATCAACAAGCTATATCATTACATTTTAAATTGTTGCTTCCAAAATGACGTTATATAATTAATAATAATAGAAAACATTTGTCTATTAAAGTATATTAAATTATTTTAAAAAATGTACAGTCTAAAATATATACTCTTTACCAAATACTTTTTTATTTGTATAATTGAGTTTCTGAAATTTCTTTAAACATTGTTCTGCTAGTACCTTATCAGGTCCTATTTGAAGTTATAATAACTGATATTGTTACACATACACGAAGATCAATAATCGAGGATTACCATTTCCATTGTTTCTCGACTTTCCCTTCTGATGACAATGGCGACTGGTGCCAAAAATCAGCTGGCTGCTGATGGTAGTGGCCTAGCTATACCTAGTTTTACCAGTGCCCAGTGCAGAACGTTTCTACTCCACATCCCTAGCATGTATAAGTTATTGAAGTATTTTCATTAAGTTAATTTAGAAACCGTTGAAAATTATGCACTAAAATTACATACAAATAAGTTTGAAAGATTATTCCTAGTTTATAGTTGATAAAAACTACTGCCAAAATTTTAGTTATAAAAATATTGAATATTTCATGTGGTAAATAGGATTTATATTGGTAATTCTGTGTTAATTTATTTTGTTCTTTAATTCTTCAATTGTACGGTTTTGTTTTGTTATTTAATTGTGCGGTTAAGAAATTGTATTCATAGTTAATTTATGTTGTCAAGCAAAAAAAAAACACTTAAAAATTGGTTTACACTTTTAAGTCAGATTTTGCCGCGATCTCACTACTGTGACTAACAGCTCCATCCAATGACAGTTACATATTTTTTAGTATAAAACTGGTCAATAGATGGCGATGCAACTCAGGTGTTTTGGCAGCCTTCAAGACCTTAAGCAACATTTAAGCGTATGCGCACAACACGAATTCTAGTGATCCGTATGACGTCATCGGGCTTTATCGTTCAAAACAGAACAGTTCGAACCCCAGACCAAACGTAGGGGTGTTGGCGCGCATGTTAAGAAAAATAAAACCTGATCTTCGCAGTTGTTATGCTCTTTACAAGAGTTTATCGGTAGTTAAACAAAAATTCGACATCTTAAACATATTTTTTCATTTATTAAAGAGAATGACTAGTGTGCAACATCACCGCAGCACTTATCCACCAGTCTCCAGTGACTAATGAAGGTATATTGAATACTGAATCACATTTTATTAAAAATGTACAGGCTACTTCTTGTCAAGATAAAATTATGAAAGTCTATTGAAGGAATATAAGTGTTAAAGTCTAGGTTCACCCTAATTTTCATTCTCCAGTTTCTATGATAAGAGCCATTTATGGTTTATATGTTAATAGAGATAAGTAAATGGAATAATGAATACTTGGCTTGGATATGTCTGATATTGTAGGTTTGATTAATCGGGAAACAGTTAATTTATTTACAAATAGATTCCATTCCATTCCACCATAAATATTCTGCATAATGTATTTTCTCACGACAATCTGTTTTATTAATGTAAAAACCAATGTAAGTTGTATTTTATTATTATACAATTTTCTTATACAACGGATCAGCATTTAATATGTGTTATAACGTTATCACTAAATTAATTTATACAATGATTACTTTAACTGTGAGTTAGTTTCCCATAGAGTCCTCATTAAATACTACAGAATGTCATTAATGGAGAGGTGAAAAATAATAGTTATTGAGAGTTAAAAAATACTTGAGTTAGGCATATACATAAACTTGTTTCTTATGGATAATGGAATTTATGCTTGGCAAATCTGTATTAGATTCTTTTTTCTTAGTTGAAGGATTTTCCATATAGAAACTTGCGTGGGGTTGGAGAAGAATGTTCTACTTTGTAAAATTTATTTGATGTATGTGAGATGAATTCAGTTATTATGGACAGTTTTAATTCGTTTTGTAACTGATAATTAGTAAGGAAAGAGGGTGCTTTCGTTACAGCTCTAAGGATCTTAATCTAGATCGTCTGAAGAAGCTTTAGTGCTGTTGCGGCAACACCTCCCTAAATGAGGCATGCATAGATTAGAAGTGAGCGAAGGGCAGTTTTATATTAAAGACGTGTGTGATAAGATATAATAGTGCAATAATGTAGCAAGAGAGTTAAAGTCTCTAAAAGTTCTAAAACTTTTTTTTTGTGATTTAGTCGCATCAACATATAGGTCATTAGCGACCAATATTGTATTTAACGGAATGGTAACTGTGAAGATGACATATGTTGATGACAGGGGGTGTGTTTATAAGGAAGAACACTAATACAACCATGCCCGAGGTGGGATCCGACCCCGTGATCCTTCAGTCGGAGGTCGCTACGGCACTGCTGCCTTAACAATCTCGACCATCCGGACTGGATCCT